GTACAGTACTGTACACTATGAAGAGAGAGAATGGTAACCTTGCTTGAGGCATGGAGGACAGGAAGGCGGGTGGGGAGGTGGTTATTGTTTGGAGGGAGAGCCCCCCTCCCTACAGGAAGCCACGACCGCATGTGTCACGGCAGGGAAAATGACCACGGATCCTGTTCGTCACCCGATGCGGAGTTCACGGACAGAAGCAAAATTTTGCGAACGGTGCTGTTCGTGACCCGAATTGGTCGTGAACAGAAGCGCTCATGACCCAAGGTACCAATGCATATACTAAAATGTAACAATTATATTTAATTGATACTTTACTACAGCAATAAGAAACATGTTGACATTTCATTTCAAATGATGCAGTAGAATCAAATAATTAATTTACAGTTGACTTATGAAGAACTTAAGCTGGAATCCAATGGTCATTTAATAAGTACTTTATGCTCCTGTTACTTAAGTACAGTTTAGATGTGTTTCATTGTTTTATGGGTAAAAGTCAATGAGTTTTTTCCATTTTCATGAAGAATTTTTGTAAGAATAATTGTCAAGCCAGACATGTTTAACTATAAATAGCATTAAATTTGATTGATATTGGAAAATACATTAAAATGCTATTAAAAATTGCTATTCTATTTGTATTCCCCTGAAATAAGACCATGAATTTGTTTTGAATTAGAAGAACTGGAAAAGAGGCTTTCATTCAAGTGAAGTCTTTGAAAATGATTTTAAAATAGCTTAATTCTATCGATTGCTCAGTGTGGCTAGAGAGAATAATGCATTTATATCTGTATGTTATTTAAAATAGTTACATGTAAATTCTAAATTTTGGTAATTTGTATTTTAATATTACAACATTTTTAGTTTTGTTACTATTGTAGGACTATATTTTTAACATTCCAGTGGTTTCCCTTTGGATTCTAGGCAAGTTGGACAAATGCAAGTAAAAAACAACGTGAAAAGCTACTTGAGCTAATCCGACGTCTTGCAGAAGATGATAAAGATGGTGTGATGGCACACAAAGTACTAAACCTTCTATGGAATTTAGCACATAGTGATGATGTTCCAGTTGATATCATGGATCAGGCTCTCAGTGCCCACATTAAAATATTAGATTACAGTTGTTCACAGGTAAGGATGTATTGTTAATTAGCCATTGACAATCATTTTGTTAATATTTCATAACAAATCATGTTTTTTCCCAGCCCTCTGAAGCAGAAATTCTCAAATTGTAGGTGGGCAAATTCAAGGGAGGGTTGCAATTTTGAGGGTACTTCCTCACACAAAGCTGGAATGCTATGAGAATTTGGTCCTAACCTGTCTGGATGTGCCAAAACTGAGTTCTCACAGGGCTCTGGTTTTGTGTGCACAAGCTGGATAGCCAGGGAACACTGGCAGGTGTGTGTATTCTCTCCTCATACGGTTTGGCAGCTAGGAGTTTGAAGGAGCACTGCTCTTGTATGGAGAGGAGCCAGTTGCAAGTTGTTAGGTCAGCCAGGAAATAAGGGTTGCTTCACCATTTACAGCAGGAGGTAGCTCCTAGTTTTGCCACTCCAACATTATCAAGTAGCTATAAAGAGCTTGCAAGCTGTACATGCCCAATTTGAGAGAGGATGTGGAACTAAGAACAAAGAGCCGTACCAGGAGTATAGGTCCTGCACTGCCAGCCACTAATAATTCCCCTTCACCATGCAGTGGAGCAGCCCAGTAGACCATAGCTACTCTGGCATTTCTCAGACGAGTACCTTCTTAGGAGTTAGCACCCAGGTCTGTTACACCCCGCCAGTAGACTCTGGATCATTATTGCTTCAGGTTGGTTTTTGAGCTGAGTTGCAGTCCTGCCTTGCATTTTAGGACTAAAACGTCCGAGGACCCTTTGACAGCTTGGCTGTGTGGGTTGTTGGAGGCAAACCTGCTAAATACCGCAGATACTTAGAAGTGTTGTATGCATCCCTCCCACTAGCAGGTTCAGCCAGGCAGGCTGCAGAGGAAACTAGAATGTCTCTGAGCTGTATAGAAGTGGCTGGGAAGGGGGAACCAGTTTATATGGAGGGCATATACTATGCTTGACAGATTTGCAAAATTGGCAGATAGAAGGGAAAATAATATATGTGGAGAGTAATGGAAAGAGGGGTGAATCTGGGAGCAAGAGAGCAGTGGAAACAGAGGTAGCGAGACATGCTGATTTCTAGAGAATCCCCAGAATCCCCTACCCTTTCCTCATCCCCTTCCTTTCAGGCTCTGTGATTATAAGAGCAGATTGCACTAAGAGCAATTCTTGCAAGGGATGTAAATGCACCAAAATCCACAGGCAGTATGGGCAATATGAGGTATAAAATGCATAGGGAAGGGAGAATTATACATGGTGGCTCTTTGCAGCTAATGGCTGTTCTCCTCCTCCCCCCTTTGTATATGTGTACTGGAAGACTGCTGCTTGAATCAAGGGCCTAATCAAAATTTAATTTAATCTTTAGGGTGCCATAGTTTCAGTGGCAACCTCTAGCTTTGTGCTTGCTAGTCTTCTCAAACTAGTGTTGATTATGGGAATTTGTTTTCATTGTTAGCCACCCAGAGTCATGTATATGAGGTGGGTGGCCATAATAAATAAATAAACAAACAGTTCATTACTATAAGATTTCAGTCTTGCTCCTTTTGGACAAAACAGCTGGCCCAAATTCTGACAAAGCTCCAGCTTTGCATGTACAAATGGAATAAGGAACCCACTTGATGCTATACTGATAGCTGGCACACTACTATTCAGTTGTGGGCTCCTTCTGCTTTTGCCCAGGATGATTCTACTGCTTCTAGTTCCTTTCTGGCCTATCTTTATTCTCATTCCTTGCACGTTTATGCTTCCTTTTTTTCTCTGAAGGATCGAGATACACAAAAAATACAGTGGATAGATCGTTTTATAGAAGAACTTCGCACAAATGACAAATGGGTCATTCCAGCCTTGAAACAAATTAGGGAAATTTGTAGTTTGTTTGGAGAAGCACCACAAAACTTAAGGTGAGAAGTTAAAGTGATTTTCTATTAAATTGTAATCAAATCTAGTACAACACATTAAATAGATGATGTATTTCTTTAGTTATGTGGTAATAGGAAGTATTCCTATAGAATGCACATAATTCCTTCATGCAACAAACTCAAGTAGCTGAAGCTAATTAGTTTAGGAGTATCCCAGAGTAACCTAATTATTAGCCTCCTCCAAATGGTGTGACAAGAATGTGACCTTTGAGAGTTGATAGGGGCAAGATAAAGTATAAAGCAGGGCCCCCCAAAATCTTCAGCTCATTGACCCCTTCATGAAGTTTCAGACTGTGCATCGACCCCCAAACATTTATTATATGAAAATAATAAATACTACTTTAGCTAATAGTAATACAAATAATAATAATAACAACAACAACCACAACAACGGATAGTCCCATCTACCTTTGGGAATCAATATTGACCACTTTAGAGAACCTGGGCCTAAAGGAATCCAAAATAAGAGACTGTGTAATGGTCAATTAAACTTATGGTTAAGAGTTACTAAGATATGAATTGTTAGAGTATAAATTGTGTGTGGTGGGGAGAAGAGAAATACTGAAGCTGAGTTGCCAGTAGTATTCATGTCAGTTATTTTGATGACAATTGATTTTAAAACAGCAATTCAGGAAGAGCAGTTAAGGAAAGAAATGACTGATTTCCCTTCATTTATACCATGGTTTGGCAGTATTTCAGGGGTCAGGATCACAATTCTGTCCCTTGACCTTCAGCGAGCAAAGAACATACAGATAGTCCTCACTTAATGACAGTAATTGGGGCAGGAATTTCTGTGCTAACCAGTGACATCACATGACTCTGCCAATTAGCGATGAAAATTCTGGCATTTCTTGTCATCGTTAAGTGAATCCCATGCCATCGTTAAGTATGGCATGTGATCACCATTCACAACTTCCTGCCAGCTTCTCCATTGACTTTGCATGTCAGAAGCCAGCAAAGAAGGTCACAAAGGGCGATCACGTGACTGTGGGACCCTGCAACATCGTAAGTATGAGGACCAGTCATAAGTACCACTTGTTTAGCGCCATCATAAGTTCGAACGGTTGCTAAACGAGTGGTCATTAAGCGAGGGCCACCTGTACTCACCAGAAGAGAGGAATGGCCAAGATGTTTGACCCTTAAAATTGTCCTAAACAACTAAAAATGGTTTGAAGTCACTCTGTTCATATTCTGCCACTGACTTTTTGTGATGTGATTCCAGGTGCTAAGGGGCTGTCAGTGGTCTGTATATTGGTTTTGCAACTTTTTTGTGCCAGAAAACAGCATTCATCTTCGTATCAGATTTTAAATTTATTTGTTAATAATTTTTGTTGGATGGCAAACCATGGTTCAGAACTTTTTCAGAAAAAATTGTATTATGGTTTATAGAACAACTTGCTGTTGAATAATTCATTAAACTGTGAAAATTGTTCTGTGACAGATTTTTATGAAGAGAGTGGCTTCCACATAAAGCTATAACTCCTGGTGTTCATTATCTATCTATCTATCTATCTATCTATCTATCTATCTATCTATCTATCTATCTATCT